ATGTATGTGAACCGTGAACGTAAACCCGAACGTATAGACACAATATTATTACAATAATATTATCTGTATGATAATATTATAGGCGTGAAACATGGTTAAATGTGTTTAGGTACCTATCAATTGGTATCAGACCGGTTTCGTTGAGTTTAGTCGAGCGACTCGTGATGGTATTTTAACGTATACATTATATTATACACATAAATGGGTGTGCGTATATCGAACCGACGACGAAGGTCAAACTAGAAGAAGTTTTTTTTCTTCTCGAACGTCGTCGTCGCATGGGTAGGTATATAGCAGTGAAGATGTGCGACAGCCAGCGTCTGACCGAACGACATTCATCGTTCAGCAGGAATGCGTAAACGTGTCTATGATAAAAATAGGTAGAATGGAAATTAATCACCGGACCTTTGACACTCGATGGTATTATATGCATGTGAACTTTGACACCCGATAATTTTTTTACATTTTATATTTACTTAAATAACAATTCATTAATAGGTACGTTTACACGGTTACATCTTATAATTAACTATTTAATATTATAATAGTAAAGTATTTAATACTCTGGCTAAATAGTAGCAACTATAGTAGGCTAATATCTACTAACTGGTAAATAATAACTATAATAGGTACATAACGGTCGGAACAAGGTTTGAGAATTCATACAATATAAATATTTAAAAATTGAGAATTTGTATTGCATATTAATTGCTATCTACTTTATACATAAAATTAATATTGTAAATAATAATCCGATAATAAATATTTTTGGTCGTACAAGGGAATTGGAAAATAATATGTTATTCTAATTTTATCATCGCCCGTTATTCGTTAATGTAAACTGAAAAACTTAACCAGATATGTGTACATTTTAGAGTGATACTGAAATATTGGAATTTTTGAAATCATTTCTTACATGATAAAAAAAAAAACATTGATAATTATTACTATAATTATTTCGTTAATAAATAAATCTGTGGTCCATAAATAATAAATACATGTATATTGAGTATATTTAGTCAATTTTATTTTATTAAATATGTAGGTAAGAACCTACTATAATTAATATCCTTTATTATATTATTTGTTATACTGTCAACAGTCGCTATCGAATGTAGAGCAAGAAGCTATCAGTATTATATTAATATTAAAAGAAATATGAAAAAAAAATCTTGGGTGTAAAAATTTCGACTATGGGTTTCAAACGTCCATTTGCGGTAAATGTCATCGAGCGTCGGGTGCCAATTAACGTCCTAGTTTAAATAAATGGCTAGTTTATAGATATCTATGCGTTTTATACATTTCCGGTCAAAACGATTTTGATTTTAATAACCTTGTATTATGTTTGATTATTACAACTGTTACTGTCATGAACTCATGTATATATTTATATATACCTATTGCTTAAATGTAAACTTTATTTAAAAAAAATAAGCTCCTCAATACTAAAATTTGATTAAATCTCCACCAATGAATACTTTATGAAACGAGTTGAGACATGATAACATGCTAACATCAATATATAAGTAGTAATCAAATATCTTGCAATAGTGGAAAATGCAGCAATTAATTAAAACAAGTCTGGATTAATAACACAAAATAAATAATATTATGTACCTACTTAAAATAATTAATTTAAGGCATTATGAAAATTACCAAATATTATAGTTTTCTTAATTTGAATAAAAACGTATCATTGGATATTAAATTTAAAATCAATTTTAAGATATCCATGTGTATGTTTTTTCAAATCGTTTACTAGAGGGCAACAATGAAGATGAACCAAAAGATTTACTATTTAAAAGGTATTAATTATAAAATTAATTACATATCATTTAGTACTTAATGCTTGTTTGTTTATAACTCAAAGCTATTTAGTATTTAAATACTATACTTAAGTAATATAATCTTCTATGCAAAATATTATTCTTCGGATTAAATATTTTATCACATAATATATCATAATATATTTTATTTTGGAAAAAATATCAACAATAACATTTACATATTTTTTATTACACAAAAATCCAAGTCCTCGTCTTTATTAGTAGTAGTAATATTAGAATATATATAGACAGAGAGTATCATACCGATTTGTGCTGACGGATTTCTTTGATCAGCCGTTCGATCCGTCGAATCGTCCTTATCTTATCCCTTCAATATTTATATGTGGTCACCGGTCATGTGGATCAAAGAAACTCGATTATGTTGTAATATTATAATAAACTTTAAAATAAAATATTATTTTATTAAAAAAACATGTTATATAATGATTACAATAATAATTCAATACATTTAATAAAAAAATATATTATTACTTATTATTGTAAATTATTTATGTATGTTGCAGATTTTGAGTGCAATCGTCTGCAGAGTTGAGATTTACGGTGTGGTGATTGCGGTGCGGATGTGTCTGACGTGTTCTCAAAAGACGCCCAACGTTCACTTATTAATTCACCGGTAGGCAAAGGATATAATAGTTTAGTAGTTGTCGCGTGAGCTTGCATATAATATTATAATGCACAAGCATATGTTATTTTATGCGGTGTCCCCTTTTTCGTCTTCTGCATAACATTACAATGTATTATTATTATTATTATTATAATGAACCAAGCTGAATTAGAACAGCAGCCACGTATTTTGTTCACTTATATTTAATAGTATAATTGTATTATGTACATAATATATTATAAATTTATAACCACCACGATGGTAGAAGTCACTTGCTGCCAATTATAATTACTTATTCCACGTTTTATGGCAGCGTGAAAATAACTTTTCACTCTTTATTCGCTATTCTAACATAGAAGAGGGCCATTCTATAATTATTGTGTTGTATGTAAAATAAAAACTTATAGTAAAATTGTTAATTTTAATTTCGGTAGGAAATTTCAAAATGTTTAGGTAGTAAACCTTTACAATATTATTATACTAGCCTAATTAAACAGCACGTCAAAAATAGTAGGTATATAGGTATATTAATATTGTGTATTGTTTGTACATGACTTAATCGGTGACACTATAGTTATGCATATCTAAAATTGATTACAAGGGGTACCAGAAAAGTTAGTTTCTCCGTGTCAGAAAGAGTCAAAAAGAGTGCACCAAAATTGAACAAAAAATTGTATCGTCGTTATAACCTTTTAGAGAGTTTTTCAAAAGTGAAACTGAAGTTATCACTGTAGTTAAGGATAGAATATGATTCTCTATTTCTTTGAGATGAGCGGCTATTACTGAGAAGGTATGAAAAAACTTATCACAGTGCCCCACGTTTATGAACAGGAACGCTGACTACTTATGTGTAAATAAAAACTTAACATTCTGCTGACTACTGACTTAGATTTTTCTCGGTATGAGTAAACTTAGTTTTTGAATATACTTCGTATTATAGACATAATGTGACGTTGGAAAAGTCTGAAGTTTGGATTTTGAGGTTTTTTGTCATCTTATTGCATAGAAAAACATTACAGAAAATGATCTGCCGCAAAATATGTAATACAAGTATACAACTAATAACGTAGCGCGATCTGTCGGCCGACAGGAATTAAGAGGTAAACGGAAAAGTCTTACAGCAATGTTAATGAAGAATAAATTAGGCTACGTATAATATTATTTGGTTGCATTTTGTACATTTACGGGATTTACATTTGATCTAAATGCGTAGAAAATATTATCAATGATATATGCTAAAATTATTGGCAAATATTTACAACGGAGACTAAAATACACTTATATGTAGGTAACAAATAACAATATTGCATATACCAAGCGCCGTAATACAAAACATTTCGTTATCGGTTATTATGAATTCTGAATTATTAGAAATTCTACATTTATACTGTAAAAAATTATAAAATATAAATATTTTTTTAAAATTATAAATGTGCCATTTAAAATGATTTTTAGAATTATTTGTTTTTTATCACAAAACCAATCATTATTTAAATCAATGATAATATGTAAGGCAAAAATAATATTTCATTAGAGCCAGGTTCATTATCCCACTACAAAAAGCGTTGCTTTTTATTTTTTATATATAGCCCTATAGGGTTATATATATTATAGGGTTGATAAATCAACATTAATATTTAACTCGTATAGACATTGAAGTTTTTTAGAATGTTCTTAACTTTATATTCAACAATGTTTTTTTTTGTCATCGAACTTTTTTCCTGATATCTATTTACACATTTACCAACAAGGTGGATTATTTCAAATGATGGATGTGTGTTAAAATAAATATTTTTTCCCAAATCGGTATACATTTAAGTAATTCTGTTGTTATATATACTCGTATAGTGTCTTCGTAGCGTTATCTCTCGGACAAACATCCGTGGCCTGGTGCCGTTATTTCCAGAAACGTTTTATCCACGAAATGTATATAAAATATAAAAAAAATTGCCTTATATTGATTTTGTTTCACTTTTATCACTTTGGAAATAATATATTAATATTTTAGTATAGGTACTGGTATAAAAAAAAATACTATTCCAAAGATAACTACCTAAAATCGTCTAAAATTTGCATTATGTACCTACTACAAAGATAATCAAATTTAACTAGATGAACAACGAGATCATTTAAAACTTACATTTGTAAAATAACAGTTTTGCTAAAAATATAATATAAATAAGCTTACACTTTTACACTTGCGTTTTAACCACGATTACCCATCGAAGTGTTGTAGAGAATTTACAATATATTATAATATTACGAAATAACTGCAGTGTATTAACACTCAAAGAAAATAAATATACATAAAAGAACTAAATGACCATGAATATAAAACTGAATAAATAAGCTGTTGCCTATAGCCTAAAAAAATTAATGCCTACCACACAAACAATTGTTTTATAAAAATAAATCTGAAAATCTCGTCACAAAAAATGATTTTGGTAGTTTATCTCAGATAATAATTTTAATTAAATAGAAATAAAAAAGATACTTTAATTTTTTTTTATATAGATAAGATTAAGAGATAAATTGAACAACACTGGTAATGCACATACATAATAATAATTATATTATAATAATTGTGTACATGTGATTATAATATTAGCATATCGTACCTATCATAGTATCTTGTAGGTTAATATAAATTATAATACGCACATAATAAAATAATAATTTACTTTTATTGACTACTTTTTGAATATAAACATAATATAAAATCACAAAATGAGAAGTAGGTATAATAATAATAGAATTTTATTTTTTAATAACTAAGATCGTGTATTTTACTAAACGATCGGCTTAAATACATTATGGTAAAGCCGGTAACATTTTTATGGTTTATTTCTGATGATTCCAACGGTATAAAAACACACACCATGCGAGATCTCCCGGCCAAACGATAAACAACGTACATTTTCGTCCGTGGTTCCGTCCAGAAACGATACAATGACGCTATTTATTCATGTAGGACTGTTGCCATTTATCAAGCGGTTCGTCACGTCGCATCTTCCATTGACTTGTTTTTGGTTTCCGGAAGACACAGATAGAGGAATAAAGCACCGACACCGGACACGGTGCCGAAAATGTAAAACGTCATCGACGTACCAATGTTGGTCAGCAGATAAGGGCTGATTTGGATCACAGTGTAGAACATGATGAACCCAAAGCACGTGGATAGGCCGCTGCCGAGTTCTCTGCAGTACCCGGGAAACATCTACAGAAAAACAATAAGGGGAATGATATAATAGTGTATAATATAGTGACCTACGGTGTAAAGTGGAATATTGCACTCGGAAAAAGGTAATGATTGAGTTGGACTCGTTTCGATCATTAGATAAAACCTATATTTTATTAACAAATACCTATCAGCCGACTGTCGAAAACAGAGCAGGTAGGTAAATAAAATGTAATAAATGTACCAACTTGTTTTAATTTTTCTAACAGTACATAAATTGTATTGTTTTTTTATAATAATGACATATATATAATAACTACAATAAAAAAAAAAGATTTAAAAAATATGATTATTTTTAAAAAGAATTAATAAATGGCATTATGAAATTAGTAAATTTTTAAAGATGTTTAAATAAATAACTACAATTTAAATATTACATATGCCTAGTCACGATTAAAAAATATCAATATAAAAATCATTTGTAGGTATTCGTAATTATTTCCAAATGAATTATTTACGTTGTGTAATACTGTCGTTAAATTTCTTAAGGATGAGCTGATTGAGTGTAATTCGTAGATGACCTCTTTGAGCCAAGTTCAATTAATATTTAGCTTTATTTATAATTTTGTAAATAAAATAAAATAGATTGCTCGAAATTATTAAGAGGTATTAAATATCTATATCGTGTAATGTGCCATTCTGTCATTTTATAATTCTATAGAAACAAATTTCTTTTTTTATTCACTAAAATCAAATTACAAATGTACAACTTTGGGGCTCTAGACAGAAGCTTTGAAACAGTAACAGATTTTTTTGTGATTACATTGAAATTGTTGACTTCTTTATCATAATATAAATCAGCTAGGATTAATTCTGCTCCAATTAATTTTAAATATTGTTTTACTCTACATAATAAATTTGATAACTTATTACTATTTATTAGTAAAATATGTGTTAACATTATTGTAATAGTGCACTGAATTAAATTATTTGCTTTCGGGGCGTAATATAAAATTATTATTTTTATGAATTATAATGTTTCTATGTAATATATACATAGTAATTAACAAACTTGTATTAAACCTGTACTTGAATACAGACGTCGTTATATATTAGTACTGTAAAAAACAGATAAAATTCATCAAATGAACATTGAAATAAAAATGAATTTATTGACTAGGTACAACAGTAAAATATTAGTGAGGCATTTTTTTCGTTGGATTTTGTCGTTTGCAAAAATAAATGATTTGTGTGGTGATGGACTGTAATAGTGATACCATATAAATATATAATAATATATTGTGATTATACTGTTTATATTGAGGGCTTAGTAAAATACAATAATTATAACCGTTATGATATTAGCAATATCATTATTTATTATCACTGATATGTAAGGCTGGGCAAATTAATTAATTTTTTCACTTTCTAAGTTAAGTTAATACAGACAAATGTAATTAAAGTTTAAACTTAAAAATTACTTAAATACAAATCAGCTATTTTGATCCTATTTGAAATCCAGAAATAGTGCATTTACCACTTCAACAGTCTTCAATTTAGTATTTACAATACATTGGTAAAACTTTATGAGATACAATACCTGTTTTTTACAATAAAAACAATTATTTGAACCAAACAAAATATATTTTAAATGGGATTTATAGTAATTAATAATTATGAATGATAAAAGTTAATGTGATCATACCGCATTTATTAACTGATTAGTATCTACCGGTATCCAGAACCTAAAAATTAATTTTTGTAATATTTTGTCTGAAAATATTGTTATTATTTAACAGTTTTTGTAGCGGGGGGGGGGGGGTCGGTACTACGCTACCGGCAATTACATATTATGAACAAATGTTGATAGTTTAGGTAGTTAGAAGTTGTTCATAAAAAAGTAACTTGTATGTAGGTATGTAACTTAGTTAACTTCACTTTTAATGCCCAGATTTCTATTATGTATTAGTTATTGGGCATAACACACCATAACGTCATGCTCACCTCGCCGGACATGATCCAAGGCAACGGCACCAACCCGATGTTGACGAACACCATGTACGCGACGATGGACAGAACGGGTGCCAGGCTGGCGGTGGTCGCCGGGGCCGGGACTGCATGAACAGCCACGCTACCCGCGGTGACAGGGGCACCTGCGTCGCGGACCGAGGCGGCCAGGCAAATCAGAGATGCGCATGTGCCTACTGCTGAGACGACGGCCAGCGGCCGGCGGCCGAACCGCTTGGTTAGGCCACACGCCAGCACGGACACGGCCAGCCGGATGACGTCCAGGGCCATGGTGCAGTGGTACTCGTTGAGATCGGGCCCAACACGCTTGAGCAGCGTCACCGAGTAGAAGGCCACCGCGTTGACACCCGAGAACTGTTGGACGAAAAAGAACGCGGACAGTACGGCCAACGGCCCCAGAAACGATGGCCTACTGAAGCACTGGCGCGCCGTCGGCTTGACGGCCTGTAGCGGCGGCTGCGGATCGACTTCCGGCGGTGGCCGCGACGGTATGCCACTACTAGCGTGGTCGCAGACTGCAGCGGTTCGACGGCGCCGGCGTCTTTCCTCATCCTCGCGCAGCCAGACAGGCGACTCAGGCGTGAACCATATGAGCACGTAGCCGGCGAACGGCACGACCGAGCACAGGGCTGACACCAGCCGCCAGCCGAGGAACGTGCCCATCGTGTGGACGACCAGTATACCGGCCGATACCGAGAACGAAATCATGGCCAGCGCAGCGCCCCGGTAACGCTGCTCCGTCACCTCGGCAATGTACACTGCCGTTGGCGGGCCAAGCAGGCCGGTGCTCAAGCCCGTCATCAGCCGGCCCGCGTACACGCCCGTTACGCCGGTGGCCATCGAAACGGCCGTCCAGCCGAGCACAAACGGCACGCAGATGAGCAGGTTGGTCGTCTTCCGGCCCAGCCTGTCCATGGCCAAGCCACCTAGCACACTGCCTGCGGCCATCGGCAGCGCTGCCATGCTGGCTGTAAGAAAAAAACGTTCTGGTTAGAATATTAATATTGCCATTACCATTCGTAATCGACCAGGACCGTATAAGGGGCTCCACGCATCTGGGGACTGCTGATTATTATGAGGGGTGGCTATTTTCTTTTTAATTTTCATTGTTTTAACCCTCTCATAACTTATATATATATAATATATAATTACATTTGATAGATAAGTACCTACTTATAATACATAGACAGTTTAAATGTATATTTGACAGATGATACAAATACATTTTTACAAATTATTCCATAAAACATTATTGTTGGCCAAGACACGAAAAGTTTTAAATTATTACATGCTATTATAAATAATATCATTCTAATTAAAGCAGTGAATTTTTTTGAAAATTAGTTCGGCCCTTAGTGAGTAAAATGACCCCTTAAGAATTAAAGTACCTATAGTTGGCCCTTCGCGGTATACAGCGTATGCCACACCGACATAGTGTTGCACCAAAAAAGGGTTCATTTAAATATCCTATTTTTCGCTGTGAACTCTGTAGTGTTTGTTAAAATTATTGAAAGTTGCCTCGGAACATTGAAACATCAAGTTCAAAATGGCATAAATTCAATATATTTTTTTATAAAAAGTTACTTGGTAACAAATTTTAGATTTTAACGTCAGTAATTTGACCTTTTTTGTAGCACTTTTTTTCTTTTTTTTTTTAGAGGAAAAAGAACAATTTTTTTTCATACTTTGACGAGATAAATTCTGCGCACTCATATCCTATATTACTATAATCAGTTTGCTGCAGAATCAAAAAATCGAAACATCCCATCTCCAGTCGATTGGCCACTACAAAATGAGCTTATGCCAACCCACGATGGAAATACCGATATGTATATATATATACACGAACTGTTAAACCGATTTGTGCGTAAGCCATTGCCGTTCGAGTGATTAAGTTTTGATTTTTTTCCCCCAGACATATTGTATATGCGCGTAGTGCAAACACAGGTATACAACCGGACAGTTAATCCGTCTACAGTTTATACCTATGCAGTATACCTATACAATATAGTGCATATACATGGTGGTATTTAATTACACTGCAGCGTGCAACTCGTTGCAATAGTTGCATCGGCCATAATAATGTCCATATATTTTAGTATACACAAATATAATATTATGTACAGGTAGGTGCCTAATTTATTTGGGGCCGAGTTGGGGACTTGGGGTACCCTAAGACAATGTACAATATTTCAGTGTACCTATACATGCTTACTTTGGCTACACAATACCATAGCAGCAACACATTTTTCTAAATTTAAACTTATGTAGAGAGGTATTTTTTAAATAGTGAGTCATCTAATGCGAACCTACGTTCTGTTATACAAATACCTATAACCGTAAGTTTCCGTTTATTTGAAAACGTTAATATCTCCTCGACTTTATGACTTATCTTTTTCGAGTACATCCACAAAGATTGTACAGATACAAATCTTATGTTGCGATATTATATTGATACAAACTCAACCATTATCATATTATATCATTGTCCTCTTTGTATCTGAAGAGAGTCAATTTTATAATTTATAAGTTTGAAAATGTCCGTCCTGCCACTGTTGATGTAATGTGATTATGAAAAGACTTAACCTCCATCTGAATTTACATAGCTATACAAATATCAGGAATAATAGACGATATAATGGTATAATGGTATGATCTTCAGAAATCAATAATTTGCATTTATCAATGCTTTGATTGTAAAAGTGTTTTTTATTTCTATGGTTAGGTACTGTATCATAATGTATTGATGGAAATATCAAATAATAATAATATCATTCGTGATACGAAATATTTTTATACTTATTTTTTTTACTATTATATACAATATAATATCACAACCCATGTATTAGAAACACGCTTTGCAACTGTGCGTATAACTAAGCGTGCATGTCAAACGAGTCTTATTAGTTAGGTACTATTATCGCGGTATACCGGACTAGTATGAATGATTACATTTTCAGTTTTTGGCCCACTTTTACTATAAATATAATAAATATAAGCTTAGGTTTATGTTAGTTACGCCACTGCCAAGAAGTGCCATCGGGTATATCAAGGGCGCTCTGCTTAAATACATATCACGTACTATGAGTACGGGACACGTTCTGAAAAGTACCTATAATTAGATCATAAGCTCACCTATCCACGACTCTTGATGGCTGCTGATTTTGATGGTCGATCGGTCGTCCTTGAGCTGCGGTAACAGTACGGCAGAAAATCCGACGGTCATCCCGGAACCGAGAGTCACAATCAGAGGTCCGGACGCGGCGAACATCTGTCGAGAATAATAAGTTGTACAATATACTTATTATATTATATTTGTCCATTCATACTAAGATGCAATATCCCAACATACAACTATTATTCATAGACTCACAAGTAAAAACATACATTGCAAATACCGAAGTTTGTGATAGGTACCTAATCTTGACAGTAATGGTAGGTGGACACTCGTATTCTCGAAAAGTATAAAATAATAAAATAATTCATATTTCTACCTAGGATAGTATAGTATAGTACCTTTATAATATGACTGTTATCGGAAAAATATTATTTTAATATAATTTCGTTCAAAATGTGATTTTTACATTTCTGAAAAAAATATTATGCTGTAGAATAAGGAATTTTAAGTGTATAGGATATAGGTTCACTCTTCAAAAAAATTTAAAAATTAAAAATTATGACCATTGAAATTTTTTGTAAATGTTATTTGTAATTACTAAAAGTTACGTAAAAAAATATTTCCAATATTTTTTTTTTTAGAATATAAGTGCTCATTGCTTACCTTCAAAAGATTCACCTTGATTATGCATGGATCATATTATATACCTACTATAATTGCAACTATATGTCATATCCTCATATAATATGTTATACACATAACGTTCACTATATGAAAGCTGCAAAAAATATTTGACAAAAAAAAACAAACAACAAAATATTGATGCTCATAATACCTAAACCTGTTTGAATATTAGATGTTGAGTCTTAAGTTCGTCCGGTTTTGACGACGCACATCGCACACGTCATTTTGTTTCGGTCTTTTTAATATTATATTATATTAATAATTTTTTTTTTTTAATGCTTTATTTACGACAATAAGGTTAGTTATTTAATTATAATATATATAAATATATTTTTATTAGCTTTTATAAAAAATTTAGCTCAATAATTAAAAATTATATTATTTTATTTACTTATTTAGTATAAGTATTTAGTAGATAAAATATCATAAAAAATAAATGGACTGAAAACAAAAACTTTTCATCAATTAATCTTGATTGTAAAGTGTACTAATTAAGCGCGTACCTATACAGAAATAATCTTTGATGGGGGTGTATAAATAAAAAAAAAAACTAAAAATTTCTATCATTAATAAGTAAAGTATTGTTAATTTATAGGTATGACATTACTATAAAAGTGTTTTAGTAAATAAAAATCATGATGGTCCATGCTAGTTTAGTATATGAAATTTTTTTTTTTGAAAACATTTCGGGGTATTGAACCTCAAAAACCCCACCCTATATATAATAAGTGCCTAGTACTATTATCATAATAAAATGCAAATAATAATTATCGAAACCAGGAAGTATGAAAAAAATTTATTGTTTTCACCGAAGGATCATTTAGGCTCATGTGAAGGATTTCCAGTTTTTTTTAATGTAGGTACATAGGAAATATAACCAATATATCATAACGTATTTTTGCATACCTATAAAAAATTTTAATGTAATTTTAGTATTCGAACAATACAGTTTTTTTATGTCTATGGATTAATTGGATTGTTTGATTGAAAAAAACCAGATGGGTATCTACTAAAATGTCCAAGAAAAAGCATTATGTGGTTTGTAAGTATTATGGTACATAATATACGTATGCCTGATGGGGTGCAGTATTTCGGTGTGGTATATATTTGTTGAGTTTGGTTTAATATTATATTATAGTCTGATGAGTTTCATTATTAGACCTGACAGGAAATATAATCGATATTATACGTAACAAACACTAATTTATTTCCAATGTATGAATACACTTAATTACCTCCACCTGATTATAGGCAGAGTTCGATAGTATTGTGTTTGTGCGTATGTTCGCCGTGTTATGTACATCTTTTAAAACGTCCGATAGACAGAATGGATGTCTATGATGATTTAAACCAATGACTGTTGGAAAAGTTAAAATGTTTAATTTATTAACTAGCGTCAACATTAACCAAATAAATATTTGAAGAACTATATAGTACCTATACTAAAAAGTGTGTACATCACAAAGCCAGTTGTTGTTGTGTCTATAACCGTATGTACGATGTACCAATAATCAATTATTAGAGTTGGCACGCCGAGAACATAATTTAGTAAATATGCATTTTTATTTATTTATTTTGCTTCTTCTCGTGGACCCGCTGTAGTGAGGAAGTACGCAGTGATCGTGTATAATACACATTATATCTAATTGAGGACACAAAATAATGAGTCGGAATGCTTGGAGATCTTAACCGCAGATAGTAATTTGCTGATGTATATAATTTTAGACAAGTTTCCGTAAAGTTCCGTACACATTACCTGTTTGAAGACTGGCGGAACGTCGAGTTTGATATACATAATGTTATTGTTATGATTGTATCACTGAGAAATCACCATTATAATAACAATATCATCGCGGTAATTGCAAGAACCGAACTCGTTGATCGTATGATAGCAATAATAATTGTATTATTATGACGGAGATCGATTTTGTTCTGGTGCTGTTATATACGTCTGAAAAAAAAAATCACAAATAACAATATGATTGGAATGGTGATATTGAGACTTGCGCCATCTAAATCATCTAAACTCCCGAATTCCCGTCGAATCATCGGTGTCGTGTAGCTTTTAATGTGCAAAACGCGTGCGGAGGACAGAACAATATACCTATTATTATCAATACACATTATGCAGCTCCTCGTCCGTCCTCCACGGTCACCCGAAACAAATTAAGCGTCAAGGTCTCGGTCAGAGATCAATGTTTTGCTATTTAATTTTATGCTGCGACGATTTCGCTCTATTATACCTATGTGTGCGTACGGTAAAACAATATGATTACCCGCTAGACACCGTGATGCCAGATGATTAGGATCAAACTCCGCGAGGATATGCATAGGTACCTATGTATATAAAACATCGCCTTGGCCAAGGCGTATGATAAAAAACACGAACGTGCGAAAAAAAACACACAGACAACAGGCAGAGTACCTATATATAGGCAAAAAATAGTCCGTCGACTAACAATTACGAGTACTTATACACAATATGTATTGTTTCGTCTTGTTTTCATGACCTTTTATGATATTATTGTATACATTATTCATTGTGTTTTTGTAATTTCCGCCGCTGCAGAAAACTCGCAGTTTCCACTGCACACCGCTGGTCGTTTACTGCAGTCGCTGTTATTATTATTGCCATTATATTATCATAATAACAACAATAATATAATAATACGCACCACGCTGCAGTTATCGTCTGTTTCCCGTAATTTACATAACGTTTCGCGACGAGGAGGGATATCGTATTGTTAATATAGGTGTAAACCTATATATATGTAATGTATGTATATTATACATCGTGATTTCGTGGGGGAGATCGGTTTGTGATTCCACGGCACATGAATCACCGCGATGGCCAATGCGATTGTCAGCACGTGACACGTGATAAACGGTTAAATCGTTTATCAATAATGATATTAATGTAAGTAATGAAATTAACGCCGACACGTTAAAATGAATTATAATAAATAAACGATATTTTTCTAGTAGTTACCGATATTTCATGGACTATTGTACCTGATTTAAAATCATAGTAGATACAATGCGCTAGGTTACGTTCTTATATTTTTAATTTATTTTTTGGAACATCACCTACGGTAAAAAAAAAAATTGTGATTAATCGTAATTATCAATCGATAATTAAATAGGTACGGTCGTCTATTGGTATGCATTCGAAGTTGGAGTCATAGAGTGATTGAATTATTGCTATAAGTGATAATACAGTTTCCGAGTATCGAGATATTGAGAGTGCGAAACAAAATTCGAAGTCATGAAAAATGTAAACATTATGTAGGGACCTTATCACTTATGTATGTCAACAGTAATGCACATAATATATTATGCGATGTTTGATGTATGTAGTGTATAATAGTTATGATAATGAAACACAAATGGTTCATAAATATACTGTATAGATGGCCGTGCAGGTCTCATCAGTTTTTTAGTCACCTTGTAATATTAAAAATACTGTAAAATACGATGATTAAAAAAGTACCTGTATTACCATAAATATTTTATAATTTTCAGTATAGTTATTTTCGAAATCGATCTACTTCATCGTCATCGACATGATATCCCAATAACGAACAAAATGAAATAAGTTATACTACAGGTGGTTTAATTACACCTCGCAATCGTGATGATTTTTGCGCTCGGTAGATATGCATTGAACGAAAACGTATCTAATTTTTAGACTTTTTGTTACTATAATATAATATTATATTATATAGGTTATTGTTATTTATTACGTACAATTAGTTCAAGTGTGTTGTAACTGCAGAGATTTCCAAATTCACCAATTTACGCGTTTGCGTAATGCCTATGACTACTTGCTTTTTAGCGGGACACACACATAGTGTGAAGGTGGTACGGTGCGTAGACTGATATAATTGATTCGTTCTACTTGTACAGTTGATTTATTTAATATTACAAAAAAAAATGCACCATTATATAGGTACCAGCTGTACAGCAACAGGTAGTTTAATATACTATTATGGGTCAAGATTGAAAAGTGATATTTTTGCTGTTATTGTTAATTTCAGATCTAATAATTATTATATTTAGACTTCAACAATTTTAAATTAAAAAAATATAACATTTTAATCTATATAATAATTTATATCTAATATTTTCTATTATATTAAATCTGATTATCTAATATGTTCAATATATACATGCCAATAATTATAGAATTTTTGTATCCGTTTTTTTTTTCATTGGACTAAAAATACATGATGCGTACGAACTATTTAACATTGAATTCACAAACTAACTTATAATTAATATTAACTAGTAACAACGTACGAATAAATCAGCTAAAAAACTAAACCTTCAATCCCTCGCAGGTATGCAGTTTAAATGTATAACAATGATATTTTTTTCTTATAAAAATTATTAAATAAATAAATTGATTGTTCGGAGCTCATGCCTCACCGCATCACCATACTCCCCGTCGTTCTACCACCACATTTTATGAACAAAAACAAAGGCAAAATTATAATAATTATGTCTATTTCAATAGAATTGTACAAAGTTGTAAGTTCCTAAAAATGTAGATTGATTTGTTTTGATTCAGCAAGCAACTTAAAAAGTTCCAAGCTCTAATTTATAATCAATTAATGATATGCAAATCACCTATGTATTGGGATTTATAAATTTAATATGAATTTAAAGGATTTTTTTTACTTTTCTTTTCTTTATTTTGTCTTTAAGTCATTTATTCTTGAGTGCTTCGGTAACTTGTAACATTTCTTTAAGGTACTATTTGTCCGTCATTTATTATGAATTTCATTAAATTAAGTTAAAATTATTAATATTACTCGTATTATTATTAATATTATTAACATAAAAATTAACGAGTTAAAAAGTTAATGTTAGAATAAAAAGTTAAATTACTTAATTAAGTTACATTATGAGTTACTTTGTTTCGAACTTAAAATATTACATTCATCTATATCATTTATTATTGTAAGACATATATTAAGTATAAATATCTTAATATCTTTATAGTAATTGATTTTTAAAAATAGTTAACTTGCCCAGCCTTGTACAATACTCAATAATGTTTTCTAGGTATTCGTATGATATCAATGCAACAATATATACAGACTGCAAATAAATTATACAACATACTTTATCTATTTATTTCGTTTTGGCAAAAATAGTAGACATACCTACATATTTACCGAAACGTAAACACTATGCATGATATTATACATGTTTTGTAATAAATCACCAAAATACACACAAATTAAAAGAATCTATTATGATAAAAATATGAAATTTACCATACAATCTCAAGCAATTTTGAATCGAAATTTCATACCTGCTGGAATATTTTTGTAAACGATATTAAGAAATGTATAAAAGGTATATTTCAATATTTGTATTTACAACTATTATTATTATTATTGTTATTACCATTGTATGTTTGTATTGCAACATTAATATCGTACTATAATAAATAATAATCTATATCTGTGATAAATTATAAAAATTAATGTTGGTCTGCCTGTCTGCTTGTAGTTAATAGACTCAAGGAACTATTGAACCGTTGTCAATAACAATCATATCAATAGATTCTTTGAGACTCTTTGAGACTTGGATGGTGTTTATAGCTTATTTCGTCAAACCCTCGAGATAGCTAAATGATGCTCAAATATGGCATGGGTATACTTTTTTACAAATTTATTTATAAAAAAATCAAATCTTTGGCACAGGCAACGTCGTGCGGGATAGCTAGATATGTATAATATAATAATACGATAAACGAGAAAATTAATATGCAAATATGCGTTCGAATCCGAATACTACCTACGTACAATAAACATTATAAAATATAAGCGATTGCAGTATTTGAAAAATAAATTTTGAACAAAAACAATTTGCAAATTAAAACGCATACTTTCATGTTCGTTATTCGCCTTGTAAAACATTTTACGCGGCTAATATTAATATCTAGTGATTTTCTTATACTGGTGATCGTGTACCAGAAGCAATTAATATTACCATTATTATAATATCCTACGGTCATACTAATTTAGGACGCAATATTATGTTATTATTATACTTACACTTTATGTATACAATCAATAATATGAAACATTAAACGTTACTAGCTTATTCGTACACGTTGATCTATACATCGTAATAATTAATAAATAATGATATAAATCACGTAAAATAAATTCATTAACATAAATTCCAACATAATATTATGTTTCGGTTTATACTACGGGTATAGTTAATTATATCGAATATATAAGTATGATAATAAATAACATATTACCTGCCGAGTCGTTTCCGAATGCGGCGTATTGTGGGCGATCTAGAATAATATTTTTTTGATTTGCAATGAGTGAATACAAAAACGGACTCGAGAGAAACACCTTGGCGTATCGGCGAAATCGTTAAAGTCTACGGAGACCGCGAGGAAAACACCACGCCGCGACCACGGGAAATACACTGGTCGCGGTGACGTTACAATGCTAATATTATTACTAAAAAATATTATCGTAATGCATACCTAAGCTGCACGTTTCGCGCGGCATACCCCTTCTACGACGGTCGACGCTAAGAAGTAATAACTTATCAACGTACGTGTTCCTACGGGTTTTTTTTTTCCCATCACTCGCAGTAGTATAGTGAGTATTTTAATATTATTATGTGTATGGTATATAGGTGCGCGTAAATTATCGCCTTTCAAAAACCAGCCGAAAAAGTACATACCTACATATTATAATTGCAATATTAATTCATTTTAGCGGTCGGAGAAGACGATATTATACGTATAGGCGCGTATATTATAATGTTATATTACGGGTGACCTATATATCTGCAGAGATCTAACGCTGAAACGACGAGTTGGTTTTTTTTTGAATTTTTATCAATCTAATGAACCAATTAGATGCGCATATACCTATATTATAATAAGGTGTATTCGTATAATAATTAGTATGTACAAATTATATCTTAATTAAATCTCCGTATACGATAGTCGTCTCGAACGGATGATAACACACTACCTATTAATTTTCTCACTCTGATACATACCCGAAACACAGAATAATTTGTGTTCAGAAGATCTAATTTTGTGCTCTTGACATATTCTCAAACTTAAATATAAGAAAATAAATTACCTCATTAAGCTTTTATGGGTATTATAATTTTAAGATTTATGAGCATTTTACAATCCTAATATTTACTCTGTCAAAATTAAAATATCAATAAAAGCCTAGAAGGTGTCCTATATTCATACCTACAAGTTTAATTATATGGGTTGATTCATACTGATATTGAAGTTTTAACAACTACAAATTGAACCTGTTGTACAAAAGTTTGTTATGTTATACACATGACCCGGAAAAAGAGAACAAATATACAGTGCACTGACATCCTTTAATACAACCTATGCGTAAAATACGGAACACGCGATAACACGCTTTGATCAGTGTTAAACTTGATTTTCATAATTATATGTATTAAACGAATATACTGTACCATATAATATATTGCGTATTATACGGTGTCAGGTGATAGTAATATTAGTAATTACCACGTGGATCTTATTTTATATTTTATAAACCGAGATCTAAACGAGAGGCGAATTAAAGCACCTGCATAATAGAAGCTTGGTGGTTGAGCCCAATCCATACAAAAAAAAAAAAATGTTTAAAGCTGCTCCAAAAATATTTTAGAATGAAATGAAAAAAAATATATTGAAGGAAAAATACAACAAGTGTTGGTATAATATTACAAAAACTTTAAATTAGTTTTTATACATTTATTTTTAAATGTACAAGTACATGGCATAAAGTGTATTTTTACTTACCTACAGTTTTTTGTGTGGGGGAGGGTACTGTTGGTTAGAAACACGCGTATGTATTGTAAGGGTTTGTCACTATAAGATCCCAAGCGGTCACCCATCCGGTAACTAGTGACACCGACAGGTACTGGCATTCAGAACACGTTTGTGACTGAAGCCAAACACCGCGCCACAATTTGATTTTATTGATTACTTCACAATTAATGTATTCAATTTATTTATCCCTATACGGTAAGAATTTTTTTTAAACCGTTTTTTCGACGTCCATGATGTGAGATTTATCAATAAACTCAAGTCACTCTAAATATTACACCTATAGCGTGGACTCAATGTGTATATTATTGGCTATACCTTGACGATGTTGACCTTGTACAATGATAACATCAGGGTAAACTACCCAACGGTGAAAATCATTTAAGAAATATGAAACTATAGGTTTAACAGAGATACGTCGAAAATCGATTTTTAAATGGGATGACTTACCATTTGCTCCTTGATGAGTCAAGCATGGCTGCATAATATACACGATTATAGTACCTGAATCACGGCCAGTAAAATAATATCTTTCGATTTAAAAATAATGGTCGCAAAAAAGAAAATATTCAAAAATTTGTTTTCGATGAAACACGACATAAAATAATATACTTTTAAAATACATTATTACAGTTCAATGCGACAATATTATTACATACTTATCTCAGTTAAAGAAGAATAGATACTTTTTACATTTTAACACATTACCTACCTAGTACATTATTGTGTAGAATCGTCATCAAATTATTTTAATGTTAAAAAACAATGATGTGTTAACATATTTAAATGTAAAATAATTCTGAAAACTTATTACCAAAGAATTTAAAGTTATTGAATACAAAACAATAATAATAAAAACAATGAGGATAATTTTGACTTTTATTTGGTTAACATTGTCTTATTTTTTGTTTCCAAAACAAATATTTCTATACATGTAGGTACTAGGTATTGTTATCCGTATAACATACTTGACAAAAATAATTTATTTTAACATCATAAATATTTAAGAAAAAGTATTCGGAATACAGTTACCCCTACTTTTTGGAATAGTATTTAAAACGTTTTCGGAATAATATCCAGGTATACAGCGTGATCCAACAAGTCAAAATCTGATTTTTAGAATCTTTAAATATACTCAAAGACCATATTTTCATATTCTTGAGATTTTTTGTGGCACTTAAGGAATGTCCTGTGGCTGTACGAACCTTTTTTTTCAAATGAGAACCCCAATTTTTCTTTAAATAATTTAGCTGATAATTTTTTTGATAATTTTGATGTATCGAAATCAAAATTCGAACGAGTGGTTTCCTAGTTATTGGACAATTTATACTAAGGATAATAGACCATAATAGGGATATGCTCATACAGTTCTACACATGGAATAAAAAAAATAACTAAATAAATCAAGAAAGATTTTACTTGCTATTTACCTAAATGTTTGACTAAATAAATATAATGTAAAAATATAATTGTATATTATGTGTATAGGCTATAGATAACAACGCATACTGTACAAGCATATCCATCTCCCCCATTATAAACTATATTATCCTTAGCACAAAATGTATGATAACTAGGAAACTACTCGTTCGAATTTTGATTTCAATACATCAAAATTCTTAAAAAAATTATCCTCTAAATAATTTACAGTAAAAAAGCGGTGTTCCCATTTGAAAAACAAAAGTTTATATCACCACAGGACACTCCTTAAGTGGTACAAAAAAATCTCAAGAATATGAAAATATGGTTTTTGAGTATATTTAAAGAATCCAAGAATCAGATTTCGAAAAACTTCATTATTAAAGAAACAAAGGGTGGGTGAGCATACTTGTTGGATCACCCTGTATATACTTAAATAAGTGGTTTTTATTATGTAGGGTGTGTTATAATTCTGCAGTGATTAACAAGAATAGTACACTTTGAAAATGACAAAAAATACGAAATGAGTTTCTAGATTTCTCTGCGTGATATGAAAAAACTGCAGTCGAATACACTTCGCAAGGCATTGAAAGTTTATTTTTATTTAGAGTTTGGACAAATATGTGATTTTGTTACTATAATTTTCCCGAATGAGAAAAAATATATTCGATAATAATCTAACAATTAGAAAACTTGATTGGTCGACGACGACCACACAATGCGTGCAACTTGCAGTGCGGTGTTCAAGGCGCACATGCTTACACACATAGTACAATACAATGTGCGTGATATGCGAATCGCTATGTTTGTATACGCAACAACAAATTGACCCGTAAAAGCGACCTGTTTTTTTTTTTAAACCATTTTATTATATGTTGTCAAAACGGAAATTATGGCGGTTTCGGTGACGATGGGGTGCCCTCGATGCGGGGATGAATACAATATAATAATTGTACACGGCGGCGTAATACGCGTATGTGTGACGCAACGCTCGCAATAGCGGAAACAATTTTTTTTCACCGTCCATTCAATAACAAGCAATAAAATACGGTGACACAATGTCGAACAGAAATTTCTGCGATCGGCAGCGCTACCGTGCTACACCCGAAACACAATCGAATTTTACACCACAGCGCGAAAGGGAATGCGGAGAAGAAGAAGAAGAAAAAAAACAGGGCACAGTGGTGGCGACGGTGGTGGTGGTGCAGCAGCAGGAACAGTGGTATATATAGGTGGTATTATTATGTTGCATTATATTGTTCGCGAATACCAGTAGCCGTTTTTGTGTGTTTTCGGATAGGATTTTCGGCGTGGCGAAAAAAAAAACCCACATAGGGACTTTTTCCGTTTCTTTTGTGCGGGACAATATGACGCGAGTGTGTGTTTTTTTGTCTTTTACGCGAATTTCACGGTTATTTTGTGTGTTGTTATAGAGATTAAAAACAGTCTCTGGCAGTGTGGGTGGCGGCAGCGCAGCACAATAATAATATGTAATATGTATATGCTGTACGCATTATAGGTTATAGCAGCTTATAGGTATGCGATTTACGGTTTGAGTGCAAACAATCCAGACACGCATTACGAGGTTTTCGCGAACAAAAAAATATATTATAACAACAACAATATAATAATAATAATATCATACGGGGAAAATAAAAGACCTGTCTCCTGCTGCCTCTTGGGTTACGCAAGAGCGTCGAGCGAATATAAAGAAATAAAACACCCATCTAGGTATGTGTAATGTTATTATATATTATACAATTATATATATATAGATACGCGCGGCGGCGAGAATAATAATATTACATGGAAGACTACTGTTGTATAGATATATCTGGATGCCGAATAACACGACGTAGGGGTCTCGTTTGTCCTTCCGTTCTGCCTTCGACATTCCCGTGTAGATCCTCTGAGTACATGTAATGTCTACACGTCCTATATTATAATACACCTAGAACACGAGAGCATGTTTTATTCTATTTTATCATCGCATCTCTCGGATTACACGCTCCCGATATCCGTCGGTATACGATACATCGACATGTATACGGCACATCCCCTGTTTTTTTTATGAACCCACGTCACAAAGCGTGGTGCAGTCCGAAGTTGCAGAGAATGTGTGCCTGTGCGGCCTATACACTGAAAAGTGTATACTAATAAGTATAGTAATAATATGTGTGTATACCTATATACGAATTAGGTATCGTAACATAATG